AAAGGGAGCCGATCTTAACATCACTGACAATTGACAAGTGCTGACATTTATAACTTACTAACAGCTGACATGAGATTCGAGTTCTCATACGGAAGAACAGATTTGACTTATTATTTTTTTTAAGTGGACCTGCTTAAGTAGTACCTTGTAATTATTAAAGTAAAAAAAACTTTCAGCATCCCAATTTTTTTGTTTTTTTTTAGTATTGTAGCTTTCACCATAAGTTTGTTGATACTATCTGAAGAAATTATAAATACTATAAAAAAAAAAAAAAAAAAATTAAAATACAAGTGCTGCACAGCTGTTTGAGGGCCCCTATAGCCTCGGCACCAAACTTAAATAAAGTCAATTCAAATCTGCTATGATAAAAAAAATTATAACCCCTGTAAAAATAATCACAAACATAGTAAAAGTCATTTTGTCACAGCCTATTTTCTCTGAAAAAAAAAAAAAAAAAAAAAAAAAAAAAAAAAAGTAGATTTTCATATAGTGGTAAAACAAGGTAAAATATTAAAAAAACTTGTCATCATCTGAACAAAATATCAAGGAAAGTTTTTATCTGAACCCCATGAAACTAGATATTTTCTGAAAGCAAACAAGATGATCTTTCATTTAAAAGTAAAACTGGCCAGTGTAAATGACTCAAAATTTTTTTTTCAGGGGTAAAATCTGAAAACGAAAAAAAAAAAAAAAAAAGTGAAAATTTTTCATTTTTTTTTTAGTTCTAAACAAAAATTTCCCCCAGTAATGGGAAATTAATCATTTTTTTTTTTTGAGGGGGTGTGGAATCAGAAAGCCTAAGTGATAATCAAACTATTTCAGGCATAAAATTGACAGTTTGCTTAAGAATTTTGCATTCTATGATGGATTTAATGAAGCTGATGAATGGAAATTTTCACTGAATATTTTGTTGGATGACAAAAACAAGCATTTTAATCAACTGTGGCTGAGTGAGATAAAATTTTATAAGAAATGTACATGAAATTATACTATAATTTTAAATACACTTATGAAATTTCATGGTCTTTTTATGCTCAATTTACTAAATTTTAAAAATGTCTCATAGAAAAATGTCATAACTGACATAATACAAAAATAATACTGTATAAATTTCATCGAATAGGTGGCTAATAAATGTAGGTATCCTCATTTAAAATGTCATACATATTGTTAATGTTAATTTTTATCCTATATTTTTAAATTTAGTTATGACAGTATTGAAAATGTTTTTTATTAATTATATAATCATTTACACTTTTGATTTATTCAGTCAAGTAACAATGAGATATAGAAATGGAAGAAATGTGCAATGCATGCTATTAGACTTTCGTGAAAATTTGGTGGCCCTGAAAAGAGCCATTTTGGTGGCCATTGAAAATGGCCATTATTTTTTTCTGCTAAGTGAGACCCTAATACATATGAAAAAAATATTTTTGCCATTTTAAAAAAGGAAAACATATTTATAATAATTTCCATCACTTATAAATAGTTTCAGAAAGTTTCATTAAAATCCAACAATTATTTTTATTTTTGCATGATTTTTGCATTTTTTTCTGTCATACAAAAAAAAAAAAACATGCTAAAAATTTATGTTGTTTTACTAGTTCTGGCGACACAAAGAGAAACAAGGTTTTTTCTTTAATCAAAATTTAGAATGTTCTAAAAAGGAAAATTTTAAAAAATAATTAAAAAAACTTTTCAATGAAAAATGCATTTTTAATACAATTATTTGTTATTTCTCTTAATTATAATAGATTTTTACATTTAAGTTGTTAAAATATTATAAAATTAGTTAAAAGCCACATCGGGTTTCCTAAGTGTCCTTATGAGATAGATCTTTTTTTAGCGCGTTGTAAATTGTATCATTTTGACTAATGAGAAGGGTACCTACAAGTATCACTATCAACTTATGAAATTTATATGATCTTATTTTTATATTAATCTGTTATGACATTTTTCCATAAATGAAATATCAAAATTAATAATAAAATTAATGGAAATACAAATAACAGTAAAATGTAATAAATGTACATAAAATTATAGTATTTTATGTACACTTCTGATAAAATTTCATAAGAAAGGTACCTATAAATTAATTAGATACCTTTCTTATGAAATATGAAATTTAATCTCACTCTTAACAGTCTTATTTTAATTTCTTTATAATATATTTTCCATAAAGCAACATAAACGTAAAGGTGAAAGCTAAGTACAAAAAAAAAGTAGAGCGCTGAAAGTTTTCCTTAAAAATAATGAGGTTAAATAATTTGTTCACTTAAATGTAAGTTATTTCACTTTCCTCCTTCCATAGAACAAATTATCCTCACGGAATCCATCAATATATCATTTATCACCTGTCAAGTGACACGAAAGTTTATGACCTGCTTTGTTTTATTTTCAAATTACATCTTTTCAGCGCAGAAGCTAAGCTAAGCTAAGTTAAGCTTGGTTTAAAATATTTTAAATAAACATTATAATTTCTGATTTTCTTAAAATAACTTTTGAAAAAATGATAATTGATATTTAAAAGAATTTCAAAATGAGAATGATCAATTTTGCTGACTCAAAAAAAAAAAAAAAAAAAAAAAACAAACAAGATTTTTAACAAATATTTCGGACGTGCTAGGAATGATTAAAAAATGTAAAAACATACCCCAAAAATACTTTGATCTTCCCTCTTAATAATAACAAACATTTAGATGATAAAATTGTTTCCATCAAGTTTGGCGTCTTTTTCATCATGCTATGCTCTTTTTTTAGCGATCTCGTGGAGGTACTTCAGTTATGACCTGCTTTGTTTTATTTTGTCTTTTCAGCGCAGAAGCTAAGTCAACCTTGGTTCAAAATATTTTAAATAAACATTATAATTTCTGATTTTCTTAAAATAAGTTTTTAAAAAAGGATAATTGATTTTTAAAAGAATTTCAAAGTGAGATTTTCATTGTTTTTATAAAATGGAAAAAAAATGGACACCATGATCGATTATCTGTCAATTTTGCTGACTCAAAAAAAAACAAGATTTTTACCGAAAATTTCAGACATGCTCGGAACGATTAAGAAATGTAAAAAAAAAAATAACCCCAAAATACTTTGATCTTTCCTCTTAATAATAACATGAACATTTAAATGATAAAATTTTGTTTTCGTCAAGTTTGGCGTCTTTTTCATCATGCTATGCTCTTTTTTAGCGTTCTCATGGAGGTTCCTACTAAAACTGAACATATAACTTTTATATCCTGTGCATTAAAGTACTTGGAAAAACTTGGCGTCTTCTTGCTCTAGCCCTAAATTCATTTATCCGATCAGACCTGAAATGATGTTCATGAATCATATATTATGCTAACTACTAAGGGTATTATTAGCAGAGAAATCACACATCCGATACATAGTCATAAAAATACAAATAAGCAGGAACACGTCAGTGTTGTTTTATAAACAAAGACGGAATTCTGTGAATATGTATTCATCATAAAATTCACAAAGACCATGACAATTTTAAATTTACCTTGGTAAATTTTGGTTTTATTTCCCGAGCGCTAAATATCCCTTAAAATATTCCCAATTGTCATAATTCCGTGTAAATGTACATGCTGAACTCGAATTAACAATTGAATTATGAAGAAACCATACAGTTTTGGAGTTATCAGCAAAAAAAAAAAAAAAAAAAAATCAGACTTCTTGTTGGTCATTTGTCCCCCATTACTGCCATCATGAATCTTGATTCGGTGCGGGATACAAATTAAATAATACAAAAGAACTTTTTTTCCATTTTGAATAGCAATAACAAATTAAATAATAAAAATAAAGCATTTTTTTTAGATTTTAAAATTGAAAATAAAACAAAAATTAATGCACAAACTTGGTAAAGTAGAAGAGTTGATTGTAATCTTTTTTAAAAATTTGTCCCCTTTTCTACACAGAAAAAAAAGCCCTACCCTACACCTAACCCTAAAGTTAATCCGGTTTATTGTATCATTAAATTTTTTTTATTAATTTGTCCCCTACTCTACACAGAAAGAAGCGAAACACAACCCCTAACTCTAAAAAAAAAAAAAAAAATTACATTTTTTACGGTAGTGCGTAGTGATTTTCTGCAACGAAACCTGTAGTGTAAAAGAAGTAAATAGGCCAAAATTTTTTATTTCTGCACCGGATGTATCCCGCACCAAATCAAGATTTATGATGACAGTATTGGGGACGAATGACCAACAAGAAGTCCGATTTTTTTCTTGTCGATAACTCCAAAACAGTATGGTTTCTTCATAATTTAATTCTTAATTCGAGTTCAGCAAGTACATTTGCACGGAATTATGACAATTTTGGAAAATTTTAAGGGATATTTAGCGCTCGGGAAATAAAACCAAAATTTACCTTTTGAAGATATTGCACCTTTTTTTCTTTTTTTTTTTTCGTAATTCGTTCAATTTCATGTAAATTCGTGAAACGTACATAACAGGTTTTTTGTGAGATCAACTACGATACTGTATGCCACTTGTGGAAGCACTCTGTCTCGTAATATTTGTTTGCAGGCCATCCAGATTCTTCCGTTTTTTAACATGCTCTAAATAAAAGCTTGCCCGTGTCTTGTCTGAAAAAATTTGAACGTTTTAGAAGGAAAAATACACATAAAACACTCTATCCCGTGTTTATTTTCACATAGGAATTTTCTTCACATGAGGAAGCCATGTTGGTTTACAAATAATATGCAACAGCGATTGTGATTGGCTCCTTACGAACAGTCGATTAAAGAATTATTCTGATTGGCCACTTTTGTTTTTACGTAGCTTCGAACAAAAACTTTTACTAAAAAGTCAACACGTAATTAGAGAATTGAAATTACTAATTAATGTACCACAATAACTCGTGCTAAAAATGACTACATATCTTTTGTAGTTTTACTTTTATGCAATTTAATGGGATACATTTATATTCCCACCCTCGTTTGTGCTCATTAAAAGTCGTTTTTTTTTTGTTTTGTTTTTTCGGAGTGACAATTTGGCCTACAATGCGGTTACCCATTTAAGTACTACTGACCTGACTCGACGTTGCTTAACTTCGATGATCGAACGAGAACTGGTGTTTCAACGTGTTATGGCCAAAACAAAAGCAACAAAGTAAAAATGATTCGGTGAGTTGGTATTAGTTTTATGATTTATCTCCCTTGACGAATGATTTTTAAAAAAATTTTTTAGAAGTCATTTTCTGTTAAGATTCGCTTTCTTTTTTTTAGATTTTAGGGAACATTTAATGTGTAAAATTTTATTATTTTTAACCTTTTATAATCCCTCCTTTTTCTCTATTGCTCAAAGAATGATGAATCGGACGAAAGAAAAGAGAAATTGTTGTTTACAAACGAAAACGGACGTAAAGCTCCAAATGTTTCACTGCCCCTGAAAAGAAAAACAAATTATTAAACGGAAAGAAGTAAGTATATAACATTCACTTAATTTCTTTCTTAATTTTACAGAAATAATAAAAACAAAACATTAAAATCATTCAATAGTGAAATATATTTTTCTTCAATCAAAAAAAAATAAGAGAAAAAATGCCGGCTCTTAAAAAAAAAGTTTCGTTTGCTTTCTAATTGAATCAAAAACTTCTTTTTTTTTTTGTTAATTTTATTCATGCTAACTTTTTAAATAATTCACAAAAAACATATTTCGGAGAAAGAAAGTAACAGGAAACCAAAATGGATTTCAATTTTCTTTATTTACAAATATTAAAAATACAAATTTAGACATTTTTTCTTTTCAAGCTTTAATTTTCTCAATGTTAAAAAAAAATGTACTAATCTTTTGAAAATGGCTAAATATTTTTCTATTCATTTTTCTTTACGTTATGAATTTTCTTATTTAATTACTTTTACCTTTTTAATTTTATTTTTTAATGAATTTATCAAAGCAATGGCGTTTCAGATTAATTTGATTTAATAAAAAGTAAAAACTATGTATCTTTCATTTTAGCGTCCGAAATTTTTTTCAGATTGTAAGTACTGAATTACCTCCCCTAGACTGCTCATATTCTGAGCATCAGTCAGTTATGTGCCATGCGTGATACACACTTAGGCGATCATGTATCATTCGATACATGACTGACAAGGCAGATTTTTTATCCCGCAGTAGGTTGCCATTTCTTTCTGTGGTAGACCAGTTGCCATCCAAGGCTATAGAACCCGGTCTGTCCTGCTATTTATCCACAGCGGGGGAGGGGGAGAAGAAGAGGATTCATACCTTTCCCAAGGGTATTAGCACATAAGTGAATATTTAACTGGAATTTGAACTCAACTCTCTGATTCCTCACTTTGAGCCGCTATCCATTTCTCCAGTGTGCCTCCTGAGCACGCTGGAGTAATGGTGGAGTAATTCTGAGCATAAATTATCCAAAAAAAATTGGGATAATATATTTTTTATAATTTTTATTTATTCTTGGCTAAAATAAATTAAAAATTATATAAAAATAAAATAAATACTCAGCTTATTATTGGAATGACAAGTAATGACGCTGTAGTCATAAAATTGAAATTTTTTTTTTTTTTTTTTAACTTCAGTTTAAAAGAACCTACAAGAAATTGATGAACAAGTAGTTAACATGCCTGCATATCATAAAATAAAAATTAAAAACATCAAATTAAATTTATAAATTGAAAGGAGAACTGATGTAGAAGAAATAAGTCAAACTGAGAATTTGTTTTTAAGAAGTAAAAAAAAACATGAAACTAATTACAATAAAAAACATTTTTTTTTTTTTTTTTTTTTTTGACCATAAACTAGTGTAAGTAGGAGATTTTACTTTTAAATTAATTTTCATGTGTCATTCAGTTGACTCAACCTTTTAACCTATAAACGTGTTGAACAGAATAATTATGTAATAAACTGAAATTAAAGTTTAGGTAAATAAGGGCATTTTCCTTGATATTTCTAACCAATTATTAAAGGGAAGCAACTCACATGAACCCTTGTCCAATTTTGTTTATGAATGAACATGAATGAGTAATCTTGAAATTCAATGAAGTCTAAACATATATATCTCCTTAAAATATTAAATAGAGCTATCATTATTCTATAACTGCAAATAACATATGACTTCGCTGTTTTCTTTAATACTGTTTCTTCTTTATTCACAGATCAGAAATTTGGTTGAGGACAAGTAAATCATTAGCCAGCCATTAAGTAAATATTGTATAAAAAAAAAATGTAAAATACACAGTGGAGAAGAACATGACATTGTGAAGTTAACATTTATGGGATTCAAATTTGGAAACATCCACAGAAAGACCATATTATTTAGAAATGCTACTTTGTGCATTTTAGAGCAATCATAAAGAAAAAATAATTTAGGAAAACACAGTGCCAATATCTTCAGCAATTCAAATTTGAAAATATATGTGGAAATACACATTGATGGGAAATCATAACATATGGAGCATATGACACTGCATTTTTACAGCATTCACATTTAAAAACACATATAGTGTGGATTAACCTTTAACAAGATTTCCATTGCAGAAGTACACATGCAAACACACACCAGAGAGAAGCCATATTCTTGTATAGTATGTGAATTGAAATTTTTAAAGAATTCAGATTTAAAAAGGCACATGAAAGCACATTCAAAGGAGAAACTTCACTTTTGTGAAGTGTGCGGATCCTCTTTTTCAAAGGGTTTAGATTTAAAAATACACATGCGAACACATACTGGAGAGAAACCATATTCTTGTAAAGTGTGCAGTTCAGCATTTTCACAGAGTTCAGCTTTAAAAACACACATTCGAATACACACAGGTGAGAAACCATTTTCTTGTAACATATGTAAAACTTCATTTTCACTAAATTCAAGTCTAAAAATGCATATGAGAACACATACTGGAGATAAACCATATTCTTGTGAAGTGTGTGGATCTGCATTCGCATTAAATTCTCATTTAAAAAGACACATGAAAACACACACTGGAGAGAAACCATATACTTGTGAAGTATGTGGTTCAGCATTTTCACTAAATTCCCTTTTAAAAAGACACATGAGAACGCATACTGGGGAGAAACCATTTTCTTGTGAAGTGTGTGGGTCATCATTTTCTCAGAGTTCTGCTTTAAAGACACACATTCAAACGCACACTGGTGAGAAACCATTTTCTTGTAAAGTATGTGAAGCTACATTTACAGTTAATTCAAATCTAAAAATACACATGCGGACACACACTGGAGAGAAACCTTTTTCTTGTAAAGTATGTGGAGCTGTTTTTTCACTAAATTCTCATTTAAAAAGACATATGCGAACGCACACTGGTGAGAAACAGTATTCTGTTGAAGAAGGTAGTTCAGACTTTTCACAGAAATCAGATCAATATAAACAAATGGAAATAACCAATAGTAAAAAATTTTCTTGTAATGTGTGTAAATTGACATTTTTACAGAGTTCAGATTTAAGAAAACATCTTCAGATGCATACTGGAGAAAAACTTTATCCTTGTGAAGTGTGTGGATTAGCATTTTCACTAAATTCTCGTTTAAAAAGGCATATGCGAACACACACTGGTGAGAAACCATATACTTGTGAAGTTTGCAGTTCAGCATTTTCACTAAATTCCCTTTTAAAAAGACACATGAGAACGCATACTGGGGAGAAACCATTTTCTTGTGAAGTGTGTGGGTCAGCATTTTCTCAGAGTTCTGCTTTAAAGACACACATTCAAACGCACACTGGTGAGAAACCATTTTCTTGTAAAGTATGTGAAGCTACATTTACAGTTAATTCAAATCTAAAAATACACATGCGAACGCACACTGGAGAGAAACCTTTTTCTTGTAAAGTATGTGGAGCTGCTTTTTCACTAAATTCCCATTTAAAAAGACATATGCAAACGCACACTGGCAAGAAACAATATTCTGTTGAAGAAGGTAGTTCAGAATTTTCACAGAAATCAGATCAATATATACACATAAAAATAACCAATGGTAAGAAATTTTCTTGTAATGTGTGTAAATTGACATTTTTACAGAGTTCAGATTTAAGAAAACATCTTCAGATGCATACTGGAGAAAAATTTTATCCTTGTGGAATGTGTGGATCAACATTTTCACTAAATTCTCATTTAAGAAGACATATGCGAACACACACTGGTGAGAAACCCTATGCTTGTGATGTGTGTGGAACAAAATTTTCTGACAGTTCTTCTTTAAAACGACACATGAGAACACACACTGGGGAGAAACCATATGCTTGTGAAATCTGTGGATCGGCATTTTCATTAAATTTCCATTTGAAAAGACACATGCGAATACACATTGAAAAAAACATGTTTTTGTAAAGTGTGTAATTCAGAATTTTCACAAAATTTAACTCTAAAAATCCACAGGAGAAAAGTAAAGTTTGTGTATCAGTCTTTTCACATGATTCTGCTTTAAATAAGCACATGCAAACACACACTTGAGAGAAATTAAGTACTTGTAAAGTTGTAGATCAGTATTTTTACTAAATACCCATTTTAAGAAGACAGCTGAGAACAATGTGAAAAATGTTCAGGAATTTTTTACAGTTTGCCTTTAAAAAACATGATAAAGACAATGGTAAGTGATCATATTCTTGTAATTTGTGTGGATCAGCATATTCACTTCAATTTAATGAGATACATGGGAAGACACATGAGAGAAAGTATATTCTTGTGGCATTTGCCACCTTCTACCATATTCTATACTTACAAGAGCCAGAGTAGATCAAAAATGGAATATTGCCATTATATCCAGGATAGAGCTGCCCAGTTCTCACATTCCTGCTTTGACATAGCTCAAAAGCGTTTGCATGGCCTTGTAGATGATGAATTGTTTTCCATCCTACAGCCTCTTTCCTCACAGATGAAACTTTGCTAGCCTCTTACTACTTGATCACTATTTTCTTGGCAGATATTCAGACAAACTTGGTTCAACCAATTCAGACCTTCACAGATTGAACATGCCATGCCATCTACACTGAGTTATCTCCTCATTCCTTTTGTATTCCATTGGTAAAGAGTATTCCATTCTGCAGAAGTTCTGAAGAACTAACTTTGTGGAAAAAACATGCTTACCCAATCACTACAATCTTATCCTCTTCAAATCCAGGGTCAACCAATATCTATCCAATATATAACATGCACTTCTTGTTCCTTCATTCTCACTTCTGCACACTTTTTTTTTTTTTTTTTGAACAACACTTGGACCTTGTATTGGGTGTCCTGGGTATGATGATAAACTATACCCAGCAGCAAGGAGGTTTCAACATGAATGGAACCACCTCTTAATTGTTGTTTTTCTCAGGTTCACCCTGATGCAGGGTGGTAGCACTTGTTAGGATCCCAGCTATGGGCAAATAATTAACCACCCCCAAACTGGGGTCAAAACACTATGAAAGCATAAAAATAGGTTTTTATAATAAAAATATCAGCAATATATTTTTGAAAAACAAAATTACCAGCAATACATTTTTGGAAAAAAAAAATATAACCAGCAATAGATTTGCTCTCGACAAAAGCCTTCTTTACAAAAATATGTCAATGAAACCCGATCTACAAACTTATTTCTTACAAAGAATATATATTCTATCCATATGAAACTATCTGAAAAAATCTTGTTGGCATTAAATAACACATTGAGGTTGATTATGCTATAGAATATAAACCAAACCAAATACCAAAATAGAAAAATGTACATTAGCATTTGAAATGACACATGAACACATACTGGAAAAAAAAACAACTATATTTTATGAAATATGTGAAGAGTTTAACTTTTAAAAACTTGTACAGGAGAGAGAAATCCAAATCTTTGCAGTTAATGCAAAAAACAAAATAAAATGGTTTGTATTTTTAAGAAATGTCAGTATTTATTTTCATATTTTCTCATGTTAACTTTTTTAACCATTTCACCCGATCCAAAGCAATGAAGCCACTAAAATATAAAGAGTTAATGATGATAAAAAAACAAAAGTGTGAAGGAAACTGAGAAAACCTTACATATCTAGGAATATTTTGTCTATATTTCTGAGATGATGTAACTATTTACATTATGATCCTCATCTTTACTGCCATCTTCACAACATTTCAACCATTGTACACACTTCTTCAGGTGAAATATGTTGGAATTTCAAACCAAACATTTTATTTCATCTACCGGGGAAGATTGTTCTAATTCCATGTGCCATGCCTTTTCTGGATATCTCAGTTTCAGTTATTTCCCTTTAGTAACTCAACTCTCCAAGTTTTTGTTCAGCTCTGCTGTGGCCTGGTATTGAACTCACAACTGTTTGGGTTGTCACTGGATTACTTCAACCAAGGCTTTTATCCACTGGGCCATGTGTCTTTGGGGAACTAGAACAATCTACCCTGGTGGACGAAATAGGGATTGGTTTGAAATTCTAACATATATCACCTGAAGAAGGCCAGAGTGCACAACAGCCAAAACCTTGTGAATATTACAATAAAGATGAGGACAACAGTCCAAACATCATACATGGTGTAAAATAGCTTGTTCTTATTTAGTATACCTTTGGCGAAGTCACACTGGTTTCATGGAGCAGGGGCTTGATAAGACATTAACATTTGCCAAAGAGTTTATGAATGTGGTTATGATTAAGTACTGCTGTAAATCACTACTTTTTCACAATAACTATATATGGCATAAGACTGCAAAAAATAGTAAATTTCACATTCCCCAGCGATCATTCAATAATGCAGAGGTATTAGACCGCATGGGCCTCTATTTATTAGTAGAACATAATAAAATTATACATGTTAGTGACCATGGCCTATATCAGGATAAAAGCTTAATAGTGATGTTGGATAAATGAAAAGAGAATCATAGCACAAGGAAAAATTATTTAAGCTTTTTAAGGCGCTTGGTTTTACTATCTCATGGGCCTCTATTAGTGGAACTTAATAAAATGATCCATGTTAGCAACCATGGCCTATACAATGATGACAGCTTAATAGTGACGTTAGTCAGTTATGTGCCATGCGTGATACATGACTGATGAGGCAGATTTTTTCCTGCAGTAGGTTGCCATTTCTTTCTGTGGTATGCCAGCTGCCATCCAAGGTTATAGAACCCGGTCTGTCCTGCTATTTACCCATAGATGAGGGAAGAAGAAGAGGATTTGTACATTTCCCAAGCGTATTAGCACGTAAATAATGGATTTGACTGGAATTTGAACTCAGCTCTCTGATTCCTCGATCAGAGCCACTAATTGTTCAAATAATGGTGGTGAGATTTTACAAGAATGTGCTTTTTTTGTTATTCTTGCTTAAGAAAAAATTTCAAAGAAGCTCAATCAGACTAACGTTTTGCCTTGACATGAAGTGGAAAGATTATATTGAATCAATATAGTTGATTCGTCATTCATTCATCCATTCATTTTCTATGGCTTATCAACTCTTTTCAGGTTATTTAAAGCCAGAAAATATTTCTAGATTGTAACATTTATTTTTTGAGCTAATAACAGTTTAGTGATACAAGTCTTACTAATTAACCCATAGCTAGGGGAGAGTAGGTGTACTCATACATTTTCCAAGGCTATTTGTGCATAAGCGAATATAACAAACCTGACTGGAATTGGAACTTGGCTCTCTGATTAACAATTCCAAGCCATTATCAATTACACCACCTGTGCATCCAAGTTTACAGCATCTGATATTCCCAAGTGGTCACCCATCTAGGTACTGGCCAGGGTCGATATTGCTTAACATCAATGATCATACAGGAACCAATGTTTCAACACGACATGGCTGTAAGCTGAAAATTGGTTCACTCTGTTGTGCAAGACAATTTTCCTTACCGGAATCTTTCACATTTATAAGTCTACAATTCATCTTTGCTATGAATATTGTTGCCATATCTGGTCTGGTGTTTTTGCGATGTATTCAGAGATTCTAGATAAAATATAAAGAAGAATTTTCCCATATTATTGATGACAAAAGTAGGCATCAAATAAATTGCCATTCCCTGAACGGCATAAAAGCAATATGGATGCCATTCTGTGCCATGTTGCAACTCCAGCAATAGACATAACTGATCAGTTGCTTTCATGGCAACCTGCTGTTAACAAAGAATGAATCATCTCTGATACTACATGATGTTTACATGATTTGCAATACCAGAGATAACTATCTGTTGCATCTTAATGTTGAGCCTAAATGGCCTGTTGCAATGTAGTTGAAAAAACATTATTTGTTGCTGTTATTTATCTATAGATAAAATTTTGTGACTTCTGTTAGTCTGTTCATCTATCACACCCTCTAAAATAGCCATATATTGACCGATCAAAACCAAATTTGGTGGAGAAGTGTAAACAGGTAAGTAGCTACAAAGTATAGTTTGTTTTATTAAGGTGCATAGCTTAGTACAATAAATTTTAATTAATGTTTTCGGAAAAATTAAAAGTTCTATTATTTAACATACAAAATACTCCCACTCTTTTAAAAACAATTTAATGATTAAAATAAATACTTATTAAATAAAAATACAATATTATTTTTTTGCATATTTTTTCTTTAAGTTTTCATTATATATATATATATATATATATATATAAAAAGAATCCAGTTGACCCTGCCTTTGCAAGAAGTATAAACAAATCACAAGACCAAATGCTTCAAAAAGTGGGAATTTGGCTCCATAAAGAAATATTTACACATGACCAGTTGAATGTTGCATGTTCAAGAGTAAGAAATCCTGAGTATTATTTGCTGTTCAAAAGGAAATTTTCTTAAAAAGTATTATTTACCATGAAGTCATATAAAATTAAATTAAAGAAATTATTAAACCGCAAAGTAGGGTTTTTGTCAAAATATTTTTCCAAGCAATTCGGCTTATGCAAATTTCACTGATTGGTTTGTAAAATTGAACAAAACATAGAGTTTGTAAATTTCAACAAAAATTGTTAGTGATAACTTCAACAATATTAGATACTGTGAGGATTTCAACACATGTAGAGTTTGAAACTATGGATCTTCAAATGAAAACTGAATTGTCCCACGTTTTGTGATTTGTTGATGAGAAGGAAAATCTTCAAGAAAGGTTTTTGGGATACTGTTATGGTCTGGTTCCTTGTACTACGGTGATAGTCCAAGATAGAACCAATAAAGAAGAACTCGAATACGGATATGGAATAACACAGATATTTTACAAACAGAAATATATACCGGGAAGTAGAAAGTGTTAGTATGAACAATCAGGTTTAGTAGAAAGAACAATGTAGTCTCGACCAGTATCACTATTCCAATGTCTTGCAGTAATTGCCTGAACGCAACTCTGTTTCGGACTGCCTCTGACTCGACTTGAACTACTGACTCGCCTTGAACTACTGACTATATTTAGTCCCCCCCCACGTGGCTGTCATGTGGCACAAGGCTGGTTTAACATGGGATCTCTGAGCTCATTGGCTCAGCCAAAAATATGCCCATTGACCCCGTATAAACGGGATCAGGGTCGGTTTACCTCCCCAAAAGAGAATATGCACTTCGACGTAGCCTCCTTTGGGTTCCTCCCCACTCGAAGGCAGAGAGTTCAACTGATCTGCTGGTCGACCGAGATCGACTTGAACGACTGACTGCTTGCCTACTCCTGAGGCACAGTATTTATTAAGTATAGAATATTCCATTATTATTATTATGGGTAAGATCCCATGACACATACGTCAATGTCAGTAAAGATAAAAGAGCCACATTGCTGACAGAAGAAGTTCATAAATTTTTTAATAAATTCAACTCCGGCCAGAAATTCATCACACAAACTTATGTTATACTGCTTAATCAAGATCTCTTTCTGATTCAAAATTACATTTCACCAGACATTGGTTGGATGTGAGTGCTAAGAAAGCAAAACACAAAATAGAAAGGTCATCTTCTGTGCAGGGGCTTCGAGCATCACAACCGGTCCACAAAACTCTGCAAAAATCCAGATATTCCTGAAAAAAAAAGGTGGGGATGTCCCTGGGAGCTTAAGCCTATTAAAACAGAGATATAAAAACAGGACTACTCACTGACAACAGGCAGTTCGTCTTCAACGCTTTGGTTTTGTCACGTGACTTCCAGATCATCAAACAAATCATCAGTGTTGATTTCAACCCAGAAGAAAGGCCTATGTCAAACCCCACCAATGACACCCACTTATCTTCACTAATCCACTCCAAGCCTCTCTCCTGACACCATCTGTGACCTCAGCCAACCAACCCAAGAAATCAGGCAACACCTGACCCTACTGACAATACCATTACACCTAATTGCTTTCCTTACCAACAGCATCTAAGGAACTACATATGAACAATTTCTGCCACATTTCACACAACTATGTGCATATTCTGAATTTTGACCATGTTCTTAAAATCTTAATCTTGTTTGTTCCTTTCCTTTGCAACCAAATGTTCTATGGAGCAAGCATGATGGTTGGGTATTTGAATAGAGTGCAAGCAACAATAAAGGAGATTTTTGATGCAAACATATTTGTACATTGTTATTTGTGTAGAAATAAATAGATTAAAGTTTATTTTGGATTAAAATTTGGGTAAAGATGGACCGATAAGCTCACAAAAATTTTTTTTTTCTATTGACACTGCTATCATTTTAACTACGCTCACTCCTTGGCAATGTTTATCATTTTAATAAGCAATTATTAGAATTACAATAAAACCTAAGCATATGATGAATGGGAATTTATACAATTTTTTATTCTAGAGAATTTACAATAAAAATATTAAATTGTTTATTTCCAAGAATAATTTTATATTTACAGCATTCCAAAAAACCAGTACCAGCATCACCCTGGATAGCAAACCATTGGCAGAAGTGCCCAGCTTCAAATACTTGAGATCATCCCTGTCAAAATTGACACCTGCAACGCATAAATCTGCACAAAGATGGCCACAGCTGCAGCAATTGCCAGACTAGAAAGGATATGAAAGAGCATCATCAGCTTCAATACCAAGTTCTACAAATTGCTGGTTGTATCTGTCCTTTAATCTTATGAAACATGGATATTCCTGACTGAGACAGCAAAAAGAATCTTGATATTCAAGAAGAAATGCTTGAGAAGGCTCCTTGGCATCTCCTTTTGGAAGCACAAAACCAATGACTAAGAATGGGGCAAGGTCAAAATACTCGTGGGCTAACAGGAATCTCTTCTCGCCACTATTAAGTGTCAGATGATGTCGTGGTTTGGCCATGTCATATGGCATAACAGGATCTGCAAGACCATCATGCAAGGCACTGGTGAAGGCGGACACAAGCAGGGACAGCAACACAAAAGCTGGTAAGGCAGCATCAAAGAGTCAGTGGACATGACAATGCTGGAACTCCTGAGAGTCACTACCAACAGATCATCCTGAAGGAGGTTGTCTGCTTCTTCTGCCCTCAGGTGCCTCCTGATGATTTAAGCAGTCAATAGACTGATGATTATGATGATGATGATAAACTAATACAATTGTATTAAAAAATATTATTTGCAAAAAATCATTTGTAGCACTTGAATTATCAAAAATAATTTTTTCCTTAAATAAAAAAAAGAAAGTTCTTTCAATGATGCAAACTGCTGTAAGAACAATTCTAAACAAATTTCATCAATCTTGGAACCTTCATGCCTGCAAAAAAAAATTAAAAATTTTTCAATTTTTAAATAAATATGAAAACAATTTTTTATTCCTAATTTATAAACATTTACTAAATTATTAAAATATGTTAACCAACTATAAGGAAATCCTTATTATTTACTGTTTTATAGTTCGAATAAATTGGCAATTAACCAATATTTTACCAACCCTTTGAAAGAACAATCTAATAAATAAATAGTGTTTAATATTTTTGTTTTCTCAAGAGTAAAGAAAATGTAAAAATTCACTTTCATATGTTTAGGTTTTGTTAAAATTTTAATCATTGCTTTTTAAAAGAATAAACATTGCCAATGAGTGAACGGAGTTAAAATAATAATTAGTAGTGTATGTCAGCATTGCTGCAAATTAGGGGTGGTTACTACTATTATAATTGTGCAGTTTCGGTTGTAGTAGTAAAAGAAAAAACTGACTCCAAATTGTAGCAAAGGAATCTAAAACAATAGCAGTGTCAAAGGAAAAACTGTCCTATTGAGACTTTTTTTCTTTTTTTTTGCAGCCATGATGGTTTCAAAATTGCTGAAATTTCTTTAGAATTGTTTGAAGAACATTTTTTGCATCATTGAAAGAACTTTCTTTTTTTTATTTAAGGAAAAAATTATTTTTGATAATTCAAATGATTTAATATGGTCTCTCTTGATTTTACAAAAACTAATTATATTTTGTGAGTATTATTTGTATGGATTTTTCCCTGTTGCATGTGTGTGTGTGTGTGTGTGCACAGCAGCATATGGAGTGGAATGAACAAACTCAAGGCTCAAAATAATTGTTTAATAGCTTTTATTCATGGTTGAAAGTGAGTGCAAAATAGTGATATTTTCTGGAAAAAAAAGTTGGGTTTTCTAGTTTGCAGAGTTCTTCCCTTGAGTATTTGTTTTGTAGAAAGAGATTTCTCTGCTTGTCCCCACATAGTATGAGAAATCTCAGGTTCAACCTGCTAGGACTGCTACAGGCCTTCTACAGCAAGGTTTATGAGTGGTTCTTCAAGCTGGCCTTGAAGGTAGTGGTTGCTGAAAAGGAAAAGTGGCAAAAGGAGGCTGAATAGGATTCAGTCACCATTTTTCTGGGACTTCCAGTTATTCTTACAGAAGGTGAAGGCCAGAATAGTCAAGTCAGCGGTTGGCCAGTGC